GGCAGAGGATATGCTGGAATATAGGTAAAACTGCAGAGTCTTGGTGACAACAGGGTACATCAGTATAGAAGATGCTGGAGACGTGGTGGTGGGCAAGAGAGAGAATAGAAGTTAGTGAACAGGGGAGAATCAACAACAGTATGGATAGTCTTACCAAAGAACAGTGGTAGAGGTGGGAATGAAGATAATCAGGAGAAAGAAGAGATGGAGAATGAGCAAAAGAATTTGGGGTAGTATATCAGCAGTACTCATTAGACAAGTATCAAATTCATCCAGTATCAAATTCCTGGGTGTGCAGTTAACAAATAGGCTGGCTTGGTCGCTCAACAGCGAGACACTGGTGAAGCGGGCACAGCAGCGCCTGCATTTTCTGCGTCGCATGAGAAAAGCACATCTTCCTTCTCCTATCCTTACCACTTTCTACAGAGGGATAATCGAGAGCATCCTGTCATACAGCATCACAGTCTGGTTTGGAAGCATCACTGCTTCAGACAGGAAGGCGGTGCAGACAGTGGTGAGGATGGCCAAAAAGATCATTGTCAGTTCTCTCCCTCCCATCCAGGACACAGCACAGAAGTGTTGCTTGAGCAGGGTCCATAAGATTATCTGGGACACTACACATCCTCTACCTTCTGGGAGGAGACTTTGTGGTATCTGAAGCAGAACATCCAGATTCAGCCATATTTTCATTCCATACAGCATTAACCTTGTGAACTCTCAAGCTTCCTCCTTCCGTTATATATTCAAGATGGACAATGTTTAATATTTATTTGTTATGTATATGTAGGGGTGTGGGTCTATACATATGTTGTATATAGAATGTTTAGTGTGTGTCATGTATGTGTTCACTTTGAGAGCAGGCAATTAAATTTCATTTTTGATGTGTGCCATTGCGCCCGCAGTAAAAAATGACAATAAAGTTTATCTTATCTACAGTAAGTAGCATGCACCCCATCAAGTTAGCAGAATTAGTGTGGTCAAGCTAACAGAGACAACCGAGCAGCATAGGTGGTAACACTAGAGACAGCCACACAAGCCAATCAGTGAAAAGGGTAGAACCAGTCCAGCAGCAGGAACTCCTCAACAACGGATACAGATGCAGCAATGCTTAGCAAAGGCCAGAAAAACCCAGCATGCTAGGCTAGTGGTACCAAAAGGCAACAGAAGCAGTCAAAGAAATATTGGTGGAAAGGGCCTGGGACCTGGAGGGAATAGATTCCTTCCCATTCTTAAAGATTGGGATGGGTCAGTAAGGATCTGAAAAAGATGTAGAAAAAGAGAGGGGGAAAGAAGTAAAAGTCCTTATTTTTTCTTTTAATTAAAAATGCAGTTTATTGTTTATAAATCTCAGGTTTATAACTTTTATAATGCTTGATAAACATACAGTAGCTTATACTGTATATAGCATTTTAGACAGAGGTTTAAAAGAAAGTAAATAACATTATTTTGAACTTAAGTGATGAAAAAGCACCCATTCTCAGAGTCAAAACCATAAAGAACCCCCAAACTGTAATTCCACCCCATTATTTAGATTATTCCTCTCAGAGCCTGAGACATTTAATTATATGTCATTGAGTTATATGTTAACTCAGTGACAATTTGGGAGATATCCCTGGCTTTCAGGGAGACTGTGAAATCCTGAGCTAATTGTTCAGGCAGCTCCAACTCTACAGTCTTAGAGTTTTCCCACAACAAATTAGAGATTATCTCAGCTAACTGGTCAAGGTGACTAGCATGAAAATTGGGTAGAGAAAAAATTTGGGTAGAGAACCAGCCATAACTGCCTCTTTCAGTGACAGTTAAGGCCTTCATAGCCTGAATCCAGTAACTTTGGAAAAACAACATATTGATGCTGGGCAAATCTTCCTAGGACTGTAGGACATAGGACAGATTTAGACACGGGACAGAAAAGCTTTGCTTAATCTTCCATTTCAGTCAGTAGGAAAATAGATGTGCCCAAAGAAATACTGAATTACACTAAAAACTCAATTCAAAAAACTGTTGATTAAAGTTTATCAACTAGCTAGAGATTATAAAATAGTTTCTACTAGCCTGTCACTCTGGAGATATTAGGGTCACAACATCCCCTTGTTTCCAGGTTAGCACAATCAACAGTCCTGATGGCTGGGAGGTTGCAAAAATGGGGAAAGTTGGATATCTTCTGCAAAATGTTAATTTTTGAGGTTCCCAAAATTAAGTCTTATTGAACAAAATGTATTAATGAAGCTAGGGCAATTAAATACAGGTAGTCTTTGACTTACAACAATTCATTTGGTGACCATTCAAAGCTACAGTGACAAAATTCAGATGCTTGGCAACTGAGTCATGTTTATGATGGTTGCAGTCTCCTGGGGTCATGTGATCCCCTTTTGTGACTATCTGACAAGCAAAGTCAATGGGGAAGCCAGATTCACTTAACAACCTGTGTTACTAACTGAATAACTGCAGTGATTCACTTAATAATTGTGGCAAGAAAGGTCGTAAAATGGGGCAAAATTCATTTAAAAACT